CCCCAAAACCCCAAAACCCCAAAACCCCTTGCTAATAACATTTTTTGAAATTTTAAATAAATTAATTCAAATGTTTCTGTACTTCAAAAATGAGGATAAAGTCAAGTTCAGTGCTACTAAATATGATAAGGACGAGAAGAAGGTGAACTTAAGTGTGGATATTGAGACAGTCAATACAGATCGTGAAAGAGAGCATATTATTCATCTATCTTCAGAAGAAGACCCTCTGTTTTATTATACTTGTACAATACCGCAGAATCAATATTCCTCAATCAGGAAGGAAAATGATCTTCTTGTAGATTTTGATGGATTTCCAGGTGAATTCAGGAAAATCATGAAGAGATGAACATTAGACGGTGGCTTTGAGTGAGTCCTAGAGATGGAGCTAATCCAGAATAGAGAGAAGCAAGAAGATCAAGAAGAGGAAAAATTTTGAGAGCTTGAAAAAGACCCAAAATTTCCTCATGTTGATCAACCTGATGGAATGAGAAGGTTTATTCCAAAAGTTGCTAAATTAGTAATCTCTCAAAGAAATGAGTTCCGGAAATTATTGCATTTCCAAGCCAAGTTCTATGAAGTTGATGATTATACAGTCAAACAAATGCTTTTGAAAAATATTCAGCACCTCAACGAAGAACTTGAAACCTGTAAAGCCTTTCCTGAAGAATGCAAGACTCTGAGAGATGAGAAAGATTCCATAATCAGTAAGATCGACGTAATGGAGGCAGAATTCTCTGAAAAGACTAATGAACTTAAAGAACTCCTTGAGACCAAAGAGACATCTCTAAAAGAGTCTTCTTTTCACATCGAGAAACTTCAGGACAAAATCAGCAGCTTTGAAAAGATATTGACAGAAGAACGGTCTGAGACCAAGGGAAAGCTAAAAGATTATGATAAGAAACTAAAACAGATGGATACCCTCAGAGAAGAGATGTCTGAGATGGATAAGGCACTCTCAGTCTCAAAGGTAGAGAAAAAGTATGTACAGAAGGAACTGTCTCAGCTCGAAGACCTCAAATCTAAGCTAGAGGCTAAGCTTGAGAAGGAAAAGGAGTTTAACTCCTCAGCCTTGGCTAAGGCCACATCTCTTAACCAGGAACTTGAGAAACAGAACCTCCTTCTGAAGGAAAGACTTGAGAAAGCTAATGGCCAAGTTGAAGAAATGGAAGAGAAGGTCCACGCTGTAACCTTAGAGAATTCCAAGATTTTGGAAGAGAAGGAAAACCTTAATAGTAAAATTGAGAAATTAGAAGAAGAGAATAAGAATACAATGCAGCAGTTTTTTGATATTAAGAAGCAGCTTGATATCGCCAACGGCGATATCAGGGGGTTACGTGTTGAGGCTAGGAAATTAGACCAGGAGAAGCTAGGCTTGAAGAACACTCTTGAAGATGAGATTGAGACTAAGGCTAATATGGAAAGAGAGATTGTTGACATGAGGACTAGATGAGAAGAATTGGAGCGTAAGGAAAAGATTGACTTTGTAGGATTCAAAAGCATGAGTCAGGGGTTCAGACCCTATGAAAGTGGCAGAGTGGGCTTTGAAGAGGGTATTAGAGGTGATTCTTTTGAGAGAGATTTTGGATCTGAGAGGTTTAGGAAGAGTCAGAGAAATATTCATTTTAGGGGTCCTCCTCCACCACCTCCAATAAATAGCTCATTTGTGCCACAAATTAGAAATCTTGACTTAATTCGTCTCCAGGATTCTGGGAGTGATACTATGACATCTGTTAGAATGAAACTTGCTCCTAAATTAAATTCCAATGTAAGAATTCACATTACTGTTTAGATTAAGCCATATGAAAGAATCTCGAAAGTAGAAGAAAGAGATCATCATAAAAACCTTTCTGTAAGCTCATTGCCCTCTTTTGGTAAAGCAAAAGAACAAAGTGATCAGGATAATAAAAAAGAAGTTGAGCCTACTGATTCTGAAGTTGACGATTCAGATGATGGAGTGATCGATACTCCACCTATAGAGACTTCTGAGCAAGAGCTTAATCCAAGACCAATAAGAAATAAAGAAAATACAAGCCCTGACGAAAACGAGAGTATTAGTCCTAGTCCATCCCCTTTACAGGAGAATCTCAATGGGAAGAACCTCAATGAGTATGATAAGGTGCTGACTCTCAGGACCTTCAGCGAGTAGGTCCCTATTAAGCATGAAATTATTTATATTTATCAATAATTATTTTTTAATTGGGGTTTTGGGGTTTTGGGGTTTTGGGGTTTTGGGG